ACTGTCTGCAACTTCTCCACCAATTTTGAGAACTGCCAATCCGATTCAAGAACCCTCCTTCCAGAAATCTTTTTATGAAAGTTTGAATTCAATAGAATGTAGAAACAGGGTGTTAGAATGTTTGCTGTGCCATGGCCTTCAGTGGCGAAATAATTGTGTTTGTGAAGCAAGTTAAATACTTAGTGGACTAAATTTTCATTTTGGTCTCTGAGGTTGAATGGCACATACAGTCACGCTGGCTTGTCCTTACTCCACAATGTACAGTATTCCCTGTACTTGGTACAGGGAAGTACAGGGTAAGGAATACTACATATATTGTGGTAGCATCATCAAAGGCAGTCCTGGACAGTTTTAAGGGCAATTCCTGTGTATCCTTTTTTCTGTTACTGCTTCTTAGGTTTCAAAAGCATTACTATATAATGTTCTCTTTCTAGAAGCTGTGGCTTTAAAATCTAGTCTGATCGGTATTTGAACTCCTATAGCATCAGGGGATCCAACTTCATCCCTGTAGTCTTCTTCCTCTCCATTCTGCTCCCAGACATTCCTTTCACAGCAGTCACTTTTCAAAGCCAGTTCTGGCTTCCTTGTGAGGGAGCAGTGCAATGCCAGCTTCTATCCAACTCCCTTGTACACAGAAGAAGTATTCTTTTCGTTGTGGTAGGGAATGAGAGGAAGTTCTCCAAAGATGGCTTTATCCCAACAACCAAGTTTGAACAAAACACTGCAGGTCAAGTGCTGACCTCCAGTGCATGCATGTAGCTGCCATTGAATCCCATGCTGCTTGAGCAGAAACTGGCTCAGGGAAGTAGGCAGTCTGTCCAACTGGTTATACGTCCAACCTATGTACAGTACAACTCTGATTATCTGAAAAACTCAAACAAGATGGGAAATGTTTGGATAAGTGGAGTTTCAGATGCAAGGGGAGCTGGCCGGCTAAAGAAGCTGAATTTCAAGAGACACTGATGGTCTTTGTACAGTTCCAGGAACAGAAAAAAGGTGGTAGTTTATTGGAGTTTGTGGATAAGTTGAACTATACTGTTTACAGTTGTTTCTTGGCATTAGAATCTCTATTCAAGGCTCTGTAACCTGTTGCCTTTTTTAAAGGACACATGAGAGTTTTGAAAATTGGTATTTACTTTGAGCAGTTTTCCTGACAGATAAAACACAGAGACTGTGTGTAGCTCTATGGCTGAGAGAAGCCATTAGAAAAGGTATAATCACAATCCCATATACTTTATGCAAGTAAATTCTGTAATGGGAACTTTGCATGAGGAGAACAGCATAAGAGTAGGAAAGTAAAGGCAGAGATTATATATCCATTTTTCTTTTCTTTTGCTTAAACAGTGTTTTTAATTTGCTAAGATGCATTTGCTGTACATTTTTGTTGCAAGAACAATCCCTACATACGCTTCTGACATAATTTTCTATGCTTTTTCCCATCCTTCAATATTTTCCTGCCTACAGCTGTTAGGAGACTCCAGGAGCAAGGTACTAGTGCTTTCTTGACTTTTTATTTCTACTTTCCTCTTTTTGTTTCTTGTTGCAACCTCTCCTCCCCCTCCTGCTACCAGTGTTGCTGCAATCAAGATGATCCATTAGGGCCCAACCCTGTAGTCCTAATGAAAGCAAAAATCGTATTGACTTTGCAAATACAGTAACTCTGCAGGATTGGCTCCTTAAAGGAGTTCTGTAGCTATTATCTAAGAATGTAGGTGACCTTTTCTGTTTTGTTTTATAGACGATCATATCCTGTTAAGGTTTGTTCATGTATTTATTCCGTATGGTTACATTTGGCATATTGTCATCATTATGCTGATATTCTTTGCTAAGTTTTAAGTCTAGAATTTTCTGAGGTGTGTGGGAAAATTAAGCACCTGAGAGCCATTGAAATGAATGGGATTTGGGTGTCTGCATCCCCTAGGTGTGCTTGAAAACTCTAGCCCAAATTAATATATGGGGTCAAAAGTGTGGTGTCTTACAAAGTTGACAAACCTGGAGTAACTTCACTGACCGCAGTGGAATTACTGTAGATTCACATCAGCATATGACAGAGCAGAAATGGTCCATTAGTTCTTTCCTCCTTTTTCTCTCTCCTTATTATTCCATCAGAATGTTTATTCACAGAATCACCTTCCTGTTTAACGAATTTGCTTGAACTCAGATCTGTATTGTCAATTAATCTGTAACCATGGAAATGACCATTATTTTCAAGAAAAGCAACATATTATTTCATCAGCCTTTAGCTAATATTTCATTTATTGCGTTTTGTTGGAGCATCACTCACTTGTGAATTCCCTTCAGAATCAATGGGACTCTTTTTGCTAGAGTGGATAAGGTAAACAGGCTGGTGCTCTGTGACATTTGACCATCGTTGTGCCGCTGTAACAGTAGCCTCAGGCCACCTTCGCTGGCAGAGTAGGCACAATGTTTTTTCCTCTGCTTTGATGGGACTGTAAATAGTTTATTAAGTGTGTGTGTGTTTTTTCCCCCCCTTCAGAAAAAGCCAGTGAGAAGAAGATATGAGCCGTATGGGATGTATTCTGATGATGACGCCAACAGCGACGCGTCGAGTGCTTGCTCCGAGCGCTCGTATGGTTCTAGAAATGGAGGCATTCCGCACTATCTACGACAGACTGAAGATGTGGCTGAGGTCCTAAACCACTGTGCCAGTTCCAACTGGTCTGAGAGAAAAGAAGGGCTCATAGGCCTTCAGAATTTATTGAAGAGCCAGAGGACTCTGAGGTGATCTGCCTCGCTGTGTAATGGTGGCCATTGGCGTTGTGTTGTTATGGTGCAGTCTGAGTTTGCTGTTTTACTTCTGTACTGTGCTGACACTCATTGCCTTTCATAGGCCTAGGGTATGCCCCTGGGAGCCAGCCTCCCAGACTTGGGGGACAGACTCGTGCTCCGCTCAAGCCAGTACATGAAAGAGAGCAACGTGGACACTGCAGAGGTGTCTCAAATTCGCAGCCAAAGTCCAATCCCGCCTCACCCTCTCGGCCCCAGCTTGGTTGGCTGTTCCAAGCTGTCACACCTCCACAGCATCTATACAGCAATTTTCCTCATGCTGGCTTGAGCAAAGCTTCTTAGAGAGTCTACCCAGGCTGGGAGACCATGCTCCTAGCTGCAGTCCAGTCATTCCCTTTGCGGCCTTGCCTGCATTAGTGTTTTTCAAGAAAGCTTCTACTATTGCCACTCCCTTGCTGGTAGCAATGTATAGAAAGGATACAAGCTCATTTTCCTTCTCTCAGCTTGTCCCCATCGACTTGGGCACTCCCTCCCCTTGGCTGTGTAATGGGGAGAGATTTCCTGCCAATAGTAATGGTCATACAACCAGAGCATGTTACAATTTTCACGTGATTGGTATTTCAGGAAGTTTAATGGTATCCCCGGAGGTACACATTTGATCACAAATAGTTAATCCCGGTTGAACAGCTTTTTAGTGAAGTAAATTGTTCATACCAAAAATGGAGTCAAATAGTGCCATGAATATTCAATATTTTAGATAAAATTATTCACGAATGCTTACAGTTGTGATAGTGAAAATTTGTTGGAGCCTCATCTAGTCAATGTAGCTTAGAATGGGGTAGAAGAATGTTTTAAAAATATGAAGAGAGTTTTGGACTGACTGAGATTTCATTTAAGATGAAAGTGTGTGTAAGCAAGTTGTTTGAACGTGGCTTTATAATGGACTTGCTGACTTGAAGAAAACATTAATGAATTTTTTTTTTTAAATCTGCTCTTTAGAATATTATAATCCATCATTTTATAGAGCCTTTCGTAATGGCAGTTGTCTGGGTGATAATTACACAACGGTAGCTAGGTAACAGGCTAAGTGTTCCATTTTAGGTTCTTTTTAGGTTGCTTATCATTGTTTTTGTTAGCAGTCTGCGCAAAAATGTGTTTAAGATCGGTGATATGTTCTTTGTTAAATGTGTTTAAGATCGGTGATATGTTCTAATGGATAATAGAGAGGGCAGAAAAAATACTCTCTTACCATTTGGAAAAGACTTTCCAACCATTTATTTGAACACCTGTAGCACCTCAGTAGGAATTTCTGGAAAGTTTACATACGGAGACATAGCCTCTTGCTTTTCATAGCCTGATAAAAACCTTTTTAACGTGGTCATTTTGTAAGAGTTTTAGAATGTACTTGCCCCAAATATACTGGGTTTTTTTGGGTATATCATAACACAATTGTTCTCAGCTGTTCCAGACTATAGTACCTCTCTCAGGAGTCTGAGTTTTGTCTTGAGTGATCCAGGTCTCACCTCCCTTAAAAATTACTTGCTTAGAAAATCCGATGTAAAAATACAAGTGTCACAGCACATTAGTACTGACATTGCTGACTTTCTCTCTAAGCCTATAACTTAGCTTTGTGGGGCACCCTGTGATGTGAGGCCCCAGGTATTTGCTCGGCTTACCACCTGCTAATGGTGGCCCTGCACAGGAGACCTCCACCTCCTCCCCCCCCAAAAAAAACCATTCCCATGACCCCCCCGAGGATCGCAATCACCAAGTTGAGAAACACTGAACGAGGTGAGTTGAGTACCCCTGGAAGAACTCTGCCTATGTCTGGGGGAAGAGGCACACATTCCCTAGGCTGAGAAACCACAGACAGTGTGTTTTTAATAAGCATCTGGTGGCAATCCATTGTCACCACTTCCATGAGTGAGAAGGTTGGCTACAATTGATTTGGATATCTGTGTGTGGGGAAAGTAATCTGTGAGGGGGTATGTGATGTCCGTGAGAGTCCAAAGGAAGGAGGCTTTGGGAATACCAGGTGATGGGGATTCCCTGGTTGTGTAGCTCTTGCAGAAAATTATTGTTCTTGGATCTGGTGACTTCCATTATATCAAACTGTACTGCTTCCACTATTCCTGTAAGCTAGCAGTACTTTCTTGGCTCTGACCCTAGATGAGATTATAAACCAGTACTAGGACCAGCACCATCTTAGGTTTAAATCTGTGCATTGCATTTTTTAAATGTTACATTACAGAAAGTCCCCGGGTTACGTACAAGATAGGGACTGTAGGTTTGTTCTTAAGTTGAATTTGTATGTAAGTCGGAACTGGTACATATTGTAGGGGAAACTCTAGCCAAACATTTCTCCAGAGCTCAGTTTTATTCTCCCACACCTCACTTCCCTCAGTCCTTTATTCTCAAGCTGAGGTGTCTGCTAAGAAAAGCCGCTCTGTGTCTCCCTGGTCTGTTGGGGGGGGGAGGCGGGCACTAGCGTCGCGTCTCCCTGGTCTGCTGGGGGGAAGCAGCTAGTGCAGGGTTGCCTCACCCCATTTGTAAGTAGGGATCCGATGTAAGTCAGATCCATGTAACCCAGGGACTGCCTGTATTTCTAATAGGGATGTGAACATGTACATGGACCCTCATGGTCACACGCAGCCCTCTCCCCCCCATCCCCTCTGCTGCCCCTGTATCACAGGGAGCAGGGAGGAGAAGGAAGGAGGCGGGAGCTGGTGTACGGTTAAAAGCTGTTTTTCTGCACAGGTTCTCCTCACAGGCGGGGTCCCATGGTTCTCTGCACAGGCTGACTCCCACGGAGCTTCCTCCCACAGAAGTAGGAGGGGGAGGTAAGAGTCAGTGCTCATGGGGAGCTGGCTTTAAAGCCGGTTCCCCATGCCTGCTGGATCCTGCGGCGCCTCCTCCCCCCCTCCTCCCCATGCTGCTGCCTTCTACAGAGGCAGCAGTGTGGGGAGGGGCTTAAAACCTGGAGCCCTGAGAGCACCAGCTCCTGCGGAGCCACCTGTCCTCTGTGCTGGGGGTGGGGTGGAGGAAGGTAAGTGGGAGCTGGTGCTTGCAGGGAGCCCCTCCCCCTGTGTGTAAACGTGTAACTGCCGAAAATTTCAGCGGTTACACATTTACAAGAATAAATGTGTTTTAACATCCCTGATTTCCAGCCTGCTGATGTTGGAGCCCTGAGAGCACCAGCTCCTGCGGAGCCACCTGTCCTCTGTGCTGGGGGTGGGGTGGAGGAAGGTAAGTGGGAGCTGGTGCTTGCAGGGAGCCCCTCCCCCTGTGTGTAAACGTGTAACTGCCGAAAATTTCAGCGGTTACACATTTACAAGAATAAATGTGTTTTAACATCCCTGATTTCCAGCCTGCTGATGTTTATATTTGCTTTTATATTTCGACTAGAGGATTTACCTGCCGTTACTTGGGTCTTTAACTCAGGTCATTTTATTTTCAATTAAATCATTTGCTCTGGGCTGGGGCTGGGAATGAGAGGTTCAGTGTGCAAGCGTCTTGGGGCCACGGGAGCATTGGCCAATGTGGCTGGCCCCAGGTCCACCTCACCTGCTTGGATGGCCCTGGCAGCTGCAGAAGTCACAGAGGTGCCAGGAGGCCACAGAGTCCGTGACTTCTGAGAAGGACTTGCAGCTTTAGAGCCGTGTTCCCTTCAGTGAGCAATGTGTGTGTGGAATGGTGGTCAGGTCGAAGGTGGTATCAGAGGTTAGTTAGATGTACCCACCTTGACTGTTTCTTTGACGTTTTCTAAAGCCCTTCTAGTCACGGTGAGTTTATAAAAGACCTGCTGCGTGTAGCCGGGGCCAGCAAGTCCCTGGAGAAAACACTGTTGAGCTGTTTATTTTAGTTTGGCACCCATTTCGTTACCTCAGGTCAGTGTGCCGTGAAAATAGGGAAGTTCAGAATAGCTGCCTTTCTGTATTTCTTGTCTGGAGATAAATTTCATTAGGGAAATAAAAAGGAGTTCATTCAGAGGGAGCTGCGATCCCCATCAGGTCAGGGGAGAATTGTAGAGCAGTCCCTTGGGATTCTTTTCTTGTTTCTCTGGAAACAGTGCCGTCTCCACACTGAATTAAGCTGGCAGCTTGCTTTGGCAGTGTTACAAGGACTGCTTTCTGCATCCAACTCTTCCTCTTCTGGAGACTGACATCTTTGTCTTATGCTCTTTTAAAATCTATATCAACTTCTTATGCTTAGAATAAAGTTATTTGGGTGAAGATACTTCCTATTATTTGTAGATAAGCTATCTTAAAAAAAAACCCTCCCAGTAGCTATTGGCCACTGGTGCATCCTTGCCTGCTCTTTGAAGTTTGTTTTGGTTTTATCTGCATGATTGGAGGTCAATGGATGAAACTCTTTTTGTGGAGAAAGGAAGCCTATAATCCAGACCTGAACTAGAGTGCTGTGAAGATTAACTCCGCATTCACCCGTTCCCTCTGGTTTGCGAGGACAATAGAGCATTGTCAAAACAAAAACAAAACAAAACCCAGTGTTCAGCTGATTCTAAGGTCCTTCCTTTATTTTCACTTGGTCTTTAATCAGGCAAACTTTTCATTGGCACTGCTGGCGGTTTTGCCTGAGTAAGGAAAACAAGGACTCCGGGTTTGGACGATATTCAACGTTTGAGATGGAGTTTTAGCACTAAAGATGTTATGCAACTGGCTCTATCAAAGCAGGGACACAGGGAGAATTCTGCCCATAAATAACTCCATCTGTTTTTTTGTTGTCTCCATTCATTGTTTACTTATGTCAATTGTTACTGGCTTTTAGCAGCCATTCCATGGTGCCCCCATTAACAACACAGTTCATACAATTGAAGACAGCGCTGCCAACACACAAGAGTGAAGTGTAGACACACACATCATGGTGCTCCTATTAACAACACAGTTGATACAATTGAAGACAGCACTGCCAACACACAAGAGTGAAGTGTAGACACACACAAGCAATGTAGTCACTGCAACAGCTATACACTGACGTAAGTTAGGTCGACTAGCCCTAATTTAAAAGACCAGGCCTCCATCTTTTTTCAACGGTCAATGACAGTTCTACTCTGCTCTGTTGTGAATAAAAGGGTTAGCTTTAATATAATGTTTTGTTGTGTGTTTTAGCCGAGTTGAGTTAAAACGGCTGTGTGAGATCTTTACGCGCATGTTTGCTGACCCTCACAGCAAGGTAATGCATTTTTGGTTTATTCTTTTACATTATAGTGTGAATAGTTATATTGTCATAAGCTGGGTAATTGTAATTTGTACCTGTGACCTCTACCGGATGGAATCACAACTGATTATATGTATGTTACAGACCCTCCCAAGAGGGTTCTGTTCTTCTGGGACTCAATATTGCAAGTGGCTGGAGTTGGATACTTAGCTTCTTTCAAGGCACTTACCATCTTCCAGAATCCAGATCTTAAAAGAGAAGGATCGGGATTTTCTTTGCGTTCCTATGGTAAGTGGCCATGAAATGCAGCACAGTGACATCTGTGAAGCCCTAAAGGCCATGGCTTTGTTACTATATGAATGGTCCCCACACATACCCCTCTCTCAGACTCTGTGGCGTTCTGGCCATGTAAGCAGGGCCAGGAAGTGTGGAATCGGGGTGTGTATATCATAGAGATTAGGGTTGGAAGAGACCTCAGGAGAGCATCTAATCCAGCCCCCTGCCCAAAGCTGGACCAACCCTCACTAAATCATCCCAGCCAGGACTTGAAAACCTCTGTGGATGGAGATTCTACTCCCTCCCTAATGGTGGTGGAATCTCCGCCCTTCTAAGGAAATAGTTTTTCCCACTATTCAACCTAGACCTCCCCCACTCCAACTTGAGACTATTGCTTTTTTTTCCTGTCATCACAGAGAATAGCCTGGCTCTATCCTCTTTCAATTACCTGAAGGGGGGTTCGAATGTCTGTCAAATCCCCCCTCCAGTTTTTTTTCTAAAAAATTGAATCCTGTTTGGGACAGGTCTCTCCCCGAAGGATCTGGGTTACATTGTGGCCAGAAGGTTAGACATTAAGGGTATGTCTACACTGCATAGTTATTTTGGACTAAGCTATTCCGGAATAGGTATTCTAAAATAGCTTATTTCGAAATAGCACGTCTACACTGCAGGGAAGCCCCAAATTAGTCCAAGGCAGACTTCCCTAATGTAGACGTGCTATCTCAATTTAGAGCCCCAGGGGGTACCGAGGAGGAATAACTTAGAATGACCCTGGTGAGGGCCTATTACAAAATAGCTGCATGCCTTATTTTGAAATAGCTGATTCAGAATAGGCTTTATTCCTCGTATAATGAGGTTTACAGAAGTCGGAATAAGCCGCTCGTTATTTCAAAATAACGGAATTGCTGTGTAGATGCTTGCATAGTTATTTCGGAGTAACTTTGCTGTGTAGACATACCCTTATATACCTGATGAGAACATCCACAGTTAGGGTATGTCTACACTAGCCCTCCACGAGGAGTAACGGTAGTTTGAATTAGCGGTCCTAATTCGAACTACCTACTCCATGCCGCGTGTAGCCGTGGGCACGGAGTTCGGACTAAAGGGGATTTAAAAATGGCGGCGCCCGGGAAGATGCAAATGAAGCCCGGAATATTTAAATCCCAGGCTTCATTTGCAACTTTGAATGCCAACATTAGCCTCCCTAGTTTGAACTAGGGGGCTAGTGTAGACATACCCTTACTTGAGAATGGATTAAAAGAAATAGTTAGGTTAATTAAACCCTAGTGCTTGCGGGAATGTACAGGCAGTCCCCGGGTTACGTACAAGATAGGGACTGTAGGTTTGTTCTTAAGTTGAATTTGTATGTAAGTCGGAACTGGCTCCAGATTCAGCCGGTGCTGCTGAAACTGACCAGGGGCTGACTACAGGAAGCTGGAGGCAGAATTGCTCTGCCCCCAGCTTCCTGGAATCAGCCACTGATCAGTTTCAACAG